CTATAATGTTGCTATATATGTATAGTGTTACGTGGTAAGATTTTTGAAAGAGAGCATTTTATTGTTGCAATCTTGTAGCAATCTCACAGTAACATTTCACAACATTTATGCAATGTCGCAACTTGCAATGAAATATTGTGACAATATTCCTGCAATTTTGTTGTGCTATATGGGTACTAATACTACTAATAATTTAAGAGCGCATTCTGCTTTCAGATCTATAAGCTCTGTATCTCTTTAACTGTTTGCTTTGTCGCTCGTTGCTCTTTTCTTCTTGTTCTACAGTACTACATAGTTTATAGAGCTTTACAGAGCGTTACAGAGCAATTTTACAAAATAGTTTCGAAACAAACATTACACTAGTAGTGAGTAAGTTTCAGTCGACCTAACTAGCCCGTGTTTAATATAAGAAAAATACAATGCGACGTTTCGACCAAGGGTTTAGGTCCTTCTCAAACAAGTTATTAATAAATAATCCAGCCAATGCGATAAGAAGTCATTTGATAAAAGTCAGACAGAAAGTGAGTCATAATTATCAAAATTACAGGTACAAAGTGAAAACATGTACGCAGTCTACAAAGGCTGGAGAATGACTGCTTTCGGAGAATTACTCTAGTAACACAATATATTGGCGTAATATTAGGGAATAATGTAAACCTAGTATTCCAAATATTGTAAGATGGACTTCTACTATTTAGCCAATTTGTCTATTCAGCAATATTGGTCTAATATTGTATTGTATCAATTTGAGGCCAATATTCTTATTGCATTGTTAAATACTAGCCAATGCACTTCGAATACAAATCTAATATCATATAAATATTATTGTGCATTTCTAATATAATCGACACTGGACCAATATTTAATTAATATTTAGCCAGTGCACTGTGCTACTAGGGTAACTATGAAACTCTTAAATTGTACAATTTTATATGTACTATTTAGATTCGTGATTACATTTCTGTGTCTCATCTATTTACTAACTTGCTATAAATATCTGCACACGTATGTAATGTACATTACCGCTTACATTTGTTCTTTAAGATATGAAGATTCAAAGTGCAAAGTCTGGTGTAATTCTGAATCAATATGTTCCGTAGAATGCATACTATATATAATTAAAAATTACGTCGATCTCCTGACAGGGACCTTGTCCTCCGATAAATATATGTAGGAAACATTGGAAAATCGAACTTTAAACCTCTTTGGAAATATAACTGAATTGTCACTGCGATATTGCAATCTCATTTCACGCTTAATCAACGATAATAAAATCAATCACAGAGATTAAAGATCACTCTCATTTAAAGTACAGTATTCTTAATTATGAATCAAATGCAATATTATTCTAACTAAGCATTAACATTGTTAAATATGAATTGCAGATTATAGTGATATAAACGAGCAACACCAATCCGATATTTGTTTGTGGTTTTAAACCTGTACGCACGTGGTTTTCAAATTGCACGTGAGTACTAAAGACATATGATGTTGAATAAAGACATCCTATAAAGCGAAGAGAAACCGCATTCGTAACTTTTCCTACGAAGTACCAGAAACTCCTAAAAATTGCAAATTATAATAATTGCAAATAATTCTGCGCTGGTTTATTAATAGAGTAAAATTATATCCTGGACGAAATGTTAATAAATTATATATACTTGTATATGGGATATAATTATATCCTTATATGAGGACTGTCAGGAAATCGATGTAATATGACTTAAAAATTTTTAAATTTCTAATATTTTTTACGTTTTAAATTTCATCGTACATAAAGTAATCTTTAATCTTTATCCTTAATCTTTAATGTTAAATTAAATTAAATTTGTATGTGTTTTATTCTAGTATGATATGTAATTCATTGTTTATTTTATAAAAACACTCCACAGAACAAAAATTTTCGATGTCCGACAATTCATATCAAATAATGCAATAATATTTACGTATCTACAGAGATACGAAGAAGTTTACGTAATAATGAGTTCTGATTATCTGATTGATGATCATACACGGAACGGTTGTTTGCGGACAGTCTGTGATTTGTTGCGGAGAAATTGAAAAAATAAGTCACGTAGAATAATAGCGACCACGTAACTCTAGCTCGTAAACGATATACTCGAAGAAACACGACCAAATGATCTCACGTGTGTCATCTTTTCTTAACATCAGAAGCATCGTTAAGTAAGTGCTTCTAGGCCATAGAGAAAGAGAGAAGCTATCTTTTTATAAACTTTTATTAAACCATGAAGACCACAAGTGAATTTATAGCATAAGTGCGCAATGATGCACGCGAGTTCTTATACACTATAGAGAACTGCAAAAAATGAACATTATTCTTTTAAGGGCAGTTTTTTAAAAATAAAATAGTTAGAAAATAGAAGTTTTGATGAAGATGATTCGAAACAAATTTTAATTCTTGAATTTTAATACAGTTTTATCCAAATGCAAAATGGATAACATTTATCTTTTGTGATTTCAGGATACTATGCGGCATTTACTCGACGAGCGGCATCGCGCTGTTATTTATCTTTGTAATGCTATGTGCCTTGAGCGAGAGAGTAAGATATCGAGTGAAATTCATTTTCTTCATAGTAGCGAGCGCACTAGCCGCGGGATTATGGATACCGTTCATGCTATTTCGAATCGGCAGCTGGAAAAACGCGCTGTAAGCTCACGTATATGGATTTTTGCCAAAAATTAAAGCGACATTTCGAGCCTTATTAAAATATAAGTGAAATGAAATCTTACAGTATGCCGGCCAGAGGCGTGGTGACGATAGCAAAGATCATCGGGATGAATTTCCGTATTCGCGGCAAGGAGAACATCGTCAAAGACTCGGGCTGCGTCGTGCTCATCAATCATCAGAGTTCATTAGACCTTTGCGGTAATCGCGATCGATTATTGAAATTATTATAAGTTTGTTGGATTCAATTAAATATGCTTTGAACAAACCCGATGAAATAATACACGAGTAAGAAAGTAGGCTATCTTATCACCCTGGTGAAAAGTTTTCTCAGAATTAAAAAAAATTTTCAGTAATTTTATGGTTTTTTTACAAAAATTTTCAGGAGTACCAAGAAAGTTTATATCTTTTCTAGAATTTTTCATATGCATGAATTCTGAGATGCATATTCTGAAACTCATTTTATAATTTCAAACATTCATATCTCAGAATATTCACGTATATGAAAAATTTTAAGAAAAGAAGTGGACTTTTTAAGTATTTCTGAAAAGTATATCAATTCGTATAAAAACTGCGAGAAAAATTTTCACCAGGGCAGAATGAAGAAGATACCGCGTAATGATATGCATAATAAAATTGGCCATGCAGTTTTAGGTGAACTGTGGTTAACGATGGACAATTGCACCGTTATTTCGAAGAAGGAGATTTTGTACCTTGGACCGTTTGGTCTCGCGTGCTGGCTCTGGGGAACGGTGTTCATCGATAGAAAAAATGCCACAGAATCATGCCAGATTATTAATGCTACAGCGGAATCGATTCGTCTGGCGAAGGTGACTTCACCTTATGCTGTAACGTTTTTCGTAGCGCTTCGTACTGACAGCGTGGAGATTTATAATACAATAACATATAAAAAATATATTAAAGTGCATTAAAATAACATGAAAATCAAATTAACTCATAGATTATTTATATCGACGTAATTTCAAATAAATCCATATACTTTAAATAATTAGAGAGTTGGACTAATTAGAGAATAATTAGAGTAATTAGATAGCATGCCAATTATATATTTTATATTAGACATTAATACTTTCGGTTGATTCTTTTAGCGGAGGCTTCTTCTATTTCCCGAGGGTCATCGACATTCGGGCAATTCATTGCTTCCCTTCAAAAAAGGTGCTTTCCATGTGGCGATTGAGTCTCAAATGCCGATTCAACCCGTTGTCGTGTCAAAGTATTACTTCCTAGACGGAAAATTAAAAAGATTCCATTCAGGTAAACAAGCATTAACTGTTTTAATGTATGTAAGTAAATAATATATGAAAGACTCGACCATGTCTGTATGATACTTGTGTATATGTTTCTGTATCTGATCTTTTTTCTTGTACACAGTTAATTTTCACGTATAACACGTCTAAAAAGAGATGAGTTTATATTTCAGGAAGTAGTTATATTACTATTCTACCGCCGATTCCCACCGAGGGTATGACCAAAGATGATCTTCCAAAGCTCATGGGGCAGGCGTACGAAGTTATGAACAAAGCCTTCGTAGAATCCACGTCGGAATGCCTCGAGGAACAGATACGAAGTTTGAAGTGCGAGTGATAAGAGTAACACAGAACAACTATCGTGATCTAAGTTCTAATCAATCAGAGAGCTCGCGACTAACTGATCTGCCGCTTGCAAATCCACCGAGATTACACGTGTGAATGACTTTATTGTGTCAAATAATTGTTACCAATTTCCATCGACGCGTGTGTATCCTGCACATTCTTTCATATACACGACGTATGTACATATCAGCTTAGAAAGCTTTTAGTTCAGAAGATACATCTTTATACATATTTCGGTCGATTGATCAATAATAACTATATTTTCCGTGCTCTTCCATTACTTCTTATACAAGTTTATCTTTAAAGAGAGATTTTGCGAAGCTCAAACGATTTTTTAACGGTGCAATTTGTACTTTTTATACCTTACAGAAAAATATAATTTATTAATTTAACCGAGATTCTTTATATCACACCATGCAGACGCGGGGTACATTTTACAGTGGATACGTAAAATTGTAGTACCAAGTGTACAGTATGTAAAAGTGTGTCTATCCCATGTATTCCAGTAGGTATAAATTACTTATATTACATGTTGATTAATAACTTTGCGTTAATTGTCATCAATCTGGATATTTGTAATCAACTGTTATCGTTATTATCTCACATGCGCGATTAATTTTTAACAGATAAGATTTCTATCTGTAATGGAATAAAATATAAAACGACGAGAAAGATCTCCTTACAAATACAATTATTATCGTTTAAATAGTGGCATGTGCACTGAGAGAAAAAATAGTCATTTTTACAAAAAAAATAGTCATTTTTGGAGCCAACCATATTTTTTATAATTCCTCCAACGTAAATTATGGTTGACCTAACAATGTGATAGTTCTCATAACCACAATATTGGTTGTCATAAACCAAAATATGGTTGGCTCCAAAAATGACTATTTTTTTTCTCTCAGTGTGAGTTACACATCTTTTTTTGTAAAAGAATGAAAGATATATTAAGCTTTCAAATATTTGAGGTTGAATTTAAAAATATCGTGACGTGTTAGTTCGCGATATGTAATGTTCTAAAAAAATGGTTTGCCATTCAAATGCTCATCCGTGCTATGCATAATTACGCAAAATATTTTATCCAACGTACCAGATTGTAATGAAATTGAACTACTTAATAACAATATAAATAAATATACACATAAATATTTCTATATGTACATGTATAAACATTTCTATGTAATCTTTTTGATATAATTGTAAAGTTAGATTTTGTCAAGTATATATTTATACGTAACACATTCGTTTAATCCTCTTCGAAAAGAATCGTTCTATTGACGGGACAGAAAAAATTAATTACTCAATGTGTTACCAAGAAAAACATGTAATTAATGTATATGTTTCTTTGTACTCGTAAGAATATGTCAATAAGAGCAATGCTGCAGAACAGCGGAATGTAAATGTCGCTGCAAATGTGTGACTTATACATGTCTATACATATATTAAAAACTAATGTTTGTTGTTACCGCTATAATAAATTATATTTTAAATAATATGGCGCATTCAGAACGGCTATATTACCGTTTTTATCACTAATTATTAATCACAAATTTAATTAGATTAAATCCCGAAGAAAAAAAATTATCTCATAAATATATTAAATAACACTATGATCGAATATCAAGCAGTCATATCATCGGACTTTTCAAGACAGTTATAAAGCTTGCCCGATACTTTACTAATATCAAAATTTAATCCTTTATATGCAGGGTAGTAATGGGTAGAACTTGCCATGCAATTTTTTAGCTTTTTACCAGAGACGCGATTGCAACAATATAAGCAAGACGTTCTCACAGGCATTATCTTGTTTTGCCATGCGGCTGAATCACATGTTTGGCTCAAAGGTTTATTCGAACGACCATTAGCTTCTTCACGCGTAGTCCTGAGTGTAGAATAAATATTATACTTCTTCATTCGAGGCCAAATTATTTCCGATGATGAAGCATCCATGTCGATGGCGCAGATATCACAGGTATTGTTTTTCCTCGTTTTCCTTTCATCCTTGATATTTATTTCTTTTGCATTTCTTTCATTTGTATAATCACCCAAAGCTGGCGATCCGTTTCGTATGCAGTTCAAATACGAGCGTTTGTCAGCTTGTGCTTGTTCAGTCGTTTTCATTGTTGGAATTATCATCTTAGGAAACTTACATCTTGTCTCATCTATCGTTCGATACAGTTGGCTGTTTGTTTGTTGAAAATTTGAAGTTGAAGTTTTTACGGATATTTTCTTATTAAATACTGGAGTTGTCAATTCAGGGATAAAGCATTGAATTTGTTTATTATTATTTTCCATTGACCAGTGATTGCTGATGAAATTTCCTGTTCCAAATGTTTTATACTCTTGGTTATTTTCTTCAGAATACGTGCATCTTTTTCCAGATAAGATTTTCTACACACAAATGTAATTTTACGCAATTAATATGCAATTTTTATACATTTTCACATTTTGCTATTTTAATAGCAGATTGTCTTATACACCGAATTATCAACATTAACTTACCTTCACTATTTCATCAATCTTTTCCTTTTCCTCGCATATATTTTTCCACGAGGAAGTAATATTAAAAGATGGTTCTATCTCAGCTCTAAAATCTTGAATTAAATCATCCTTTTTCATGCTCGTTCTGTTTACAATATATGTTCTGGCTTTTCTACGCTTAGTAAATTCGTCGACACCCGCCAAGTCACAGTAATCGCTACAGACATCAACTTCGAGATCCACCGAAAGCGAAGAAGTTAAAGATTCGTTTCCAATTTCGACGGGCGAAGAATCCGCGAAACATCCGCTATTTCGTACCGTGTCGACATTTATGAACTTTGGAAAATCTTTCTTTTCCCCAAAACTTAGGCACTCGAGCGTCAATCCACTGATTTCGTCATCTACTTTTTTCTCCGGCGTGCTACATCTGTATTTATCACATGGCAATTTATATAGTGCATAGGGGCATTGTTCTCTGCATGAACATCTTTTATATTTTTTAATTTTACTCTTTAAGAACGTTTGTCTCACATAATTTTTCGATAATTCATCTGCAAACCTATGCGAGTGAATTGCAGGTCGCTCATCATTTATTATTGATAACGGACTGATTTGCTCGTTATTCTCCGCAACATTTCGACTTCCAAGACGTTTACAATTGTGCGATTTCTTGTCATTTTCTTGTTGCAAACATATAGTAATGTCTGCTTGTGCAGAAGCATTGGATGTACATAAAGTATCTGCCAAATTATCCAATTCTTCGCTGATGTCGGTGTACGTATTTTCGTTCCTTTTATTGAATTTGAAGGTTTTCTGTTCTTCCTTTTTTCGCAAAAGACACGCCTCACGTTGTTGTTGTTCTTGATTGGACGTTACACACATATTCTTAGTGCTCTTTGCAGATTGTTGAGTTTTCCGAACATTTCGTACATTTTTAACGACCTTGTTTTTTAAGTATTTCAAGCTGTCATATATCGTGTGTGTTGAAAATCTAATTGGTTCTTGACACTCTTTTCTGACCTTATATGGAAATTTGTAATATACATTTTTCTTTCTAAATTTAATACAGTTTAATATTTTCTTAAAATATAAAATTATTGTTATATTCCTTATATAAATTATTATTACATAGATGTAATGTAACAAAAATAACAAATGCAATCGGTAAAAAATATTTATTAAATTCTATATATGGATATTTTATGTTAAATTTGAAAAATATATGAGACAAATATATATCATTTATATGATATCCTTGTGACATATAATGTTGTAGTCATTATTGTTTAAAATACTATTGTTTAATATATAATAAAAATATACCTGACTATTTTTTGTGAGCTTGTACGTTTCGTCAACTTTTGCAGGAAATCCAATATTTTCAAAATACGCTTTGACTTTTTGTAATATATTCGGACTAGTATAATCAATATTATGATTTTCTTTTATAGATTCGAAACATATATTTTCACGATTTACATTGAGGGATATTTTCTTCAAATGATTTAGCTCCGCCCTGAGTTCGTCTACCACATCTGAAAGAGCTTCCACTTGTTCGAGTATTTGATTGAGCTTATACTGATCACGACGGCAAACCTTTCTTGACATAACTTGTACTATCAGAATTATGATATTCTAAAAACAAATATGCAGAACTTTATTAGCATTATGTAGCGTATTAACAATTTATAAAATGATCAATGGTCTAAATTACTCTAAATAGAAGTGAAATATTATTTCGAGAGAACATGGTTAAGTTACGACAGGCCATCTGTCATCTATATTTTATAACTTGTTTTTTTTTATATATATATATGGAAACATTCAAAATTGAAGTCGCTATGAGTTTTCATATTAACAAGCAGAAAAAAAGTTTTATACCCGTGAGCAGAAAAAGTTTCGTATTAGCTTTAACTTTTATATTGTGTACAAGAAACGATGTGTCGCCATTTATATTACAAGTTGTATAAAATATAATACATTAACAGTAATGATGTATACTACACTGATATAATTAAGTAATATATAATTGAACATAATCATAAAAAATATATAATGTACGAAATATATGGATAAATAATACATATCTTATCATAACTTATGGCAGAAACATTTCTCACATTGATAAAACGTACTGTTTTGTATTAAATAATCATTTATTTGATTTATTGTATGTCCTAGGTACACATTCGTCGTCAGTCGGTGTCACGTATCATAGACTGGCTATTAGTGTGTTTGGTAATACAAAATCTCTCTCTTCCTAACACAATTACGCGTAATACTATGTTTGTAAAGTGTATATGTACAATTTCAGTTACTTCATTTATACCGGCGTTTTCATTTCATTTACAAAATAATTGTGATGCGTTTTTCAATACCGCCGTAGTCGTTCTCGCGCCGCTATTAATGTTACGATGCAAAAATAATTATAAAAAGATACGTAAAAATAACTGCGTATGTATCGATTAAAAAAAAACGCATTCTATACGATTGCTCGAAATAAATATCTTCATCTTCGTGTCATTTACATACCACTCAGTACAATGGCCCGTTTACGCTTCGTTGTTTATCGCGAAATCCCTAGAGATCTTTAAAGATAGCATCGTTATTGTACCAAACGATCTCCATGGCATAAATTGTCAAGCAGATCCCACTTATTTACAATAATAATGCATTGATCACAATAATTTACATTTCTGTGTAATTTTATGTATATATATGTATATATATAATTGCGAAATCTCTCTGGAATGCTGATAGCGTGTTCGATCGAGCAAACTCTCCGTTTTCCCTTCGAGGTGTGACTTAGCCCCTCTGTTCTAATTAGCTCTCTTCTACAATCGAGGTAATTGGGTTGTCTATACTCGTCTCGTATGTGAAAAAAAATCGCTGCTACAATACTTGCGCCGCGGAACTTACGATAAGAAGGATACGGTATGTCTCGAATATCGCAAGTAGATAAAAGAGAGATAGAATAGGAATATTCGAAGTAACCGGCAAAGTTTTCAAGTTATCCAGTTTGTAGTTTCACGAGGTTAGGGATTGTTAAATAAAACTGTAATACTTCGACACTTTCCGACATATCGAACTCGCACCGTTGTATCCTTGAGTACTTAGTAGCTCTAAACTAATTTGTTTGTAATACTGATAATCGCGATTTTGAAGAACTTTGTAAAATCGTTGATCGAAAAACACATCGGGATCGTCCTTCTTGTCGTAAGACCCCTATTGCCGTTTCGAACTCGAAAGTGTTCCTTCAAAAAAATCACACCTGGCGCGTGTCGAGCGTGGTGTTAATACTTAGAGCTACACCGTAATCTACCGCGGATCTAGCTGTACATAAATAAAGATAGAAGACGAAGTATACACCAGAGAAAGAAGCGGTTGAAGAAGTGACTGATGGAATCTTTCTGGCTGTCTTGACCATCGAGAAACAAGGCAGGCCATTCTCCCCTATGTCTGCCATGTGTTTCTTGGTCCCTCTTTCTCCTCCAGTATTCGCATAACACAGCCTTTGCTCCTCCTTCTCTCTGCACGAGTGGTCTCCCTGCATTCCAGCTACTCCTCGTGACTCCTGTCTCTGTCGGCAAACGTCAACAAGTCGATGTCGAGGCCGATGAGATCAGAGTAATATACATAGGACGAAACGCTCGTTTTAGGAAATCTTCTTGTTCCCATCGCGTAACTGAAGATTCCTCCGGTTAGCTTTGCCCCGCGACACATCCGGGACGTAAACTCTTCTGATGCTGTCTCGGACCGTTACAGGTGCATCTTGCACAGGCTGCTGTCTCGGACTAGCTCAGTTTAGTCGGCCGGAGTATGGTCTGTCGGGAATTCGGGGGGGAATATTGGGTACGGGACGCCTACAACATAGACAGATATTGATTGTTGGATGTGTGTGTTCACGATATTTAAAGTGAAAACACGCCGCAGGGGGGATTAATCATTGAACGAGAGACGCGATACTGATACACAAACAGGCAAACTTGAAAAATTCGACGTTCTCGAGTGAAATTTTCCTCTCTCCTCAGCTCTAAATATATTAAAACTTAATTATTTTAACTAGGACGAGAAGAGAGAGAAAGAAAGAAAAAGAAGAGGAGACATAATACATTTGGAAACACGCATAATAGACTGTACTATAAATAAATAATGAAATGTATGAGCTAAAACAAAAAATAAATAATATAAATAACAATATAATCTAGGAGGTTCGGCGACTACGTGATTAAAATTAGAGATATCGTCTAAGTACATATAAAATACTAAAAAATATTATTTTCCTTGATCTTAGACAAACGTAAAAATTTTATCGAAGTAGCATCAAGCTGAGGCCGTATAGAATTAATCACATTTAGAGTTTTTGAAAAAAATATTACGAATGTATAGTAAAATGTAAATTAGAATGTGACACAGATAAATAGAGTAATGAATTTATGAAACATTAATAGCGTGAAATAATAACAATTTGGATTAAAAAGAAAGACGAGAGACTCACACAGCATGCTCAAGCTTCAGCGATAAAACACATGCAGAAATAAACATAGTGAGAAGACACTTAATCGCATTATTACTATTTTATATAACGAATCGATTCAAATAAATAGAAATGTATAATACGTCTCGTATTTTTCCAATAGCGGCGCTAAATTTGAAAGAAGAAACAATGTTAGAATTTGATTCACTTTACAGAATCGATTTTGACTCATTAATGGCCAATGGCTCATCTTTATTTTCACAAAGTAATTTTAATACTACATGACACTCTCTTACTTTTCAGCATGTATTTTACAAACATATTTAAATTTCTTGTAGAAAGATCGTGCCAATCATAATTAAAAATGTTTAGAAATAAACAATAATAATCGTAATTTAGAACACAATATTCTCTGTTGGAATGCGATGTATGGCCTTTAATGAATCAAATAGGATCAATTTTGAATAATTTTCTGGTGCATTGCACTTTCAGGTCAGATTATTGTCAGATCATTGTCGATACTATTTTGGAAAAGAATACATATTACAAGAAAACATGTCACAGGGTCGCAAACGAGAGGTTCAAGAGCTACTGAAAAAAAATACACAGAACGCGAATACGCATCCCCGTGCACCGGGGAGAACACATTCACCAGTTCTGGCTCGTTTTTGGATAATTTTGACACCGTTACGCGTGGAAATATTAAACGTTCCCCACGAGGAGAGGTAGAACATTTGCTTCGTGATTCGCGATAAATCCGACGGAAATGCGTCTTCGACTGTTCGTGAGAGCAATGTCCTTTCATGTAATCTTATTTTTCACGTACATACGCATGTATATATACATATATATGTATGTGTACGCAGATATATACATATATACGTATAGATATATTCTATAACATGTTACTCCCTATATACACATTTATATTGCAGTAAAACAGTGTATGTGTGTTCCTCTCGTGCGCGCGTGGCGCGATATTACAACGCATTTTTTTTCGGGATGTAGCGCAGAAAAACTTAAGCGGCTCTTACACGGTCAATATTATCGTAGAATGTCTCCACATTGCGCAATAATATCGATCGTTTATATAACGCATCTATATATTGATATCAATATTATATTCTATACCAATACTATTAGCGCAATATATCGCGTCAATAATACCGAGCGTGCAGAAGCCGCCTTAGCCAAGTAACCCTCCAATATTATACTGTAATAATTTTAACGATATTTCAAGGTGAATTTTACCCCAGAATATAATCATGATTTCTTGGTCGGAAAGGGAGAGAGAGAGAGAGAGAGATTTAGCGGTTTGGAATAAAAATCGCTATAAAAATCAATATACAAATATAAAAATTAACAAGGGCAATATATAATGATTTGTGTTGATCGACAAGAACTATTATCTGCCGTCCAATATCTGGAGTTAGAAGTACATAGTGATTTTGCTGTATGGGTCTCCGTCACTCGTTATCGCGGCTGCAAAAAGTTTTGCTTATCAAGGACTCTCTATTTTATAATTGGGGGTTACTTTGCCCGCGTACAATCGAAGGGTTTGGCACAGTAGGAAGAAGTACAGGGAAGATATGCGTGTCTTTCATGCAATTTCGAATTATACTGCCACTGAATACCGGTGAAAACATTTAAAGTAATTCTGTTTTTTTTTTTGCAGCACGTGGATTCGTTAAGTCGCCTTATTGTCTCTTTCTCTCGACAGATTACGGGATCATCATTTTTCTCTTGTGTGTGCCAAACCCTTGAAATATCAAGACTACGCCGACAGCAAACCCACGATTCGCTCTTCGACTGAAATATTACTCTCTGCTTTCTCTCACGTATTCTTCACAACGCTATATAAGCATGGCGATCCAAAGATTCTCAGCCCGCGGTGTACAATAGAATTACATACTTAATCGATGTTAGCTTTACATGAGATAAGCATAATAACTAGAGTGACATATAAGGCTTTAGATGGAAGCATGTATATAATGCGTCGAGTAAAGTGCATATCGCGATTTCTATGTATATATATTTTTTTTGTTGCGTAACACTCTCCTTCATTTTATGGTCATTATAGAAGTTGATATTCACCAGCTCGGCGCCATTTATCTACAATTAACATCGGGTCTTAATACCTCCCACAATTAAACCATCACAACATAGAGCAGAGAGAGAACGAATGCTTTCAAGGAATATATCTACTATTATATTTAACAAAATAGATGTACTATTTAATTAATCATATGTTAAAGTATTTATAATTAGATAAATTCGCTAAATAAAATTCACCCTTCGTTGTAAGGCTTGAGGTTGATATTCCACCAGGTCATCGCCAGATGCACTCAAGTATGCATTTAATAGATTAATTTTTTTTAGCAATATTACGATGGGAATTACTACAAGTGCAATTGCGAAAACGTGGAACAAGCGATTCCCTTACCGCTCTGATCATCTATTCCACATAATATAGAATGCTTACACATATTGTACTTATATTCTACACTAATACGCCACATAGATTTCATTAACTCCCACAATCTGGCCTAATTTTCCAACCCGTCTTTTTTTCTTTTAGAAATAAATATAAATAGTGCACTATCAGAAGAGGTGGAATATTCACGAAGCTAAACCGAGGGCCCTAAATATTTTCATTTAAATGTTCAATTAACAATATTCGGTGCAGTGAACGCACATAGCATATGATATGCCCGATCGAAAAGCTACACCTTGTAAAAAGGCTTCTTTCTATTTAATCTTATCTCATTGTTATGCTTTAACAACTCGCTAGTGCAAAAATGACCTTTTTATATAAGTGAGAACGGAAAAACTCTCACGAGCTTATCGAGTGTGACATACGTTGCTAAACAAATCTGCGGATATTTCTTACAATATAATATAGCGCGGTGATTTTAATCATTAATTTAATATTTGTAACCGCGTTACAGATACTCCTGTTATATCGACGCATTTAATTCTGACATTACTTCAGAGGACCAATGTATATATGTATATACGCACATCTGTATACAAGTGGTTACTGTACAATAACATTACAATAGTGTTCCTTGTGGCTGCACGCGGAATTTCTTTCGTGTCGACGTTTCTTATGCACTCTGCGCCAAATGCAACACGTGACATCAGAAATCACCATTATATTTAAACCACCATTATCATTAATATCCTTGTCTCGGTAATGATAAGTAAAACCATATGTGTAGTTAGTCCGACGTGCTTCAAAGAGCGACGCATTTTAGTAAGTTCAAGATTAAATTCACGGCAAGATAATTGAACAGTTGAAACGCGAAATAAAAAGACGCGCATTGTTAAGGAATTGTGCCACTATGAGATAAAATAAGTAAATGGCTGCGTGTGTGTATGCGTGTACGGAAAAACATTATTAGGCCTTCTCGAGATTGGCAATTTCAACGGGGAGTCCTATGTTAACATAGGAATGTAAGCGGAATTTACAAACTTCTCCTTGTTCATTATTGAACTCACTAACGACTTTACAATGACAATCGATCAGAATACAAACAACGCAATGACACGGAAAAATACGAGTCTTCCGCCGTCAGTGTCGTTCTAAATTCGTTATTTATTCAAGAAGACATCCAGCATCCTACTGTAACGAAAAATAATATTTTCTTTTGTTTAATTGCACTTCGATTACCGCCTTTGAGTTTCTTCCCGGGTCATTGCGTAAACGTATTCGAAATGAGAGCGTAAATCGCTCTACTCCATGTATAGTACAATTCGGCAGAGTTTTACAATAACTTTGCAACAAGTGTTACGAACTTTATATAATAATTTTATGAACTTGTGCCATGCTATTCAATGCGATCCTTCTTCCAAATATCATAAACGTTTCATGCTACAACGTGTACTATACAAATCTTGAAGCACGTCGTTGCTCTGCAAATAGGCAAGAATACCTAATTACAAAAGGTCATCTTATATACATATACAGTTGAGCCGCAAGCATGATTCAGGGAGCTCTCTTCGGGAAAAATAACTATAAATAATACAAAATACAACGTCGCTCCTGGATGCGCTTGTCGAATGTGATGTACACTCATTATAGATAGTACGCGATATTATTTACCATTAATCTCTCAATAGGTGCGATTATATCATTAGTTTAGACTATTCAGAAAGAGGGGGGGGGGGAGAAGAGAGAGGGAGAGAGAGGACAGACGGAGAAAAAGGATAAGAGAGACGGGATGAGGAATAGAAAGAGAGAGGGAGGAAGGGGGATTTCGTGACTCCGGATTTTCATGCAAAATCCTTGAAGCATTCTACGCTATATCACATCCTATGTCTGAGCACATTTTTTTCTTGTTTATATCTCGTAAAGATACTATGAAGTATCTTTCGTTTTCTTATATATATATATGTATATATAGCATATATATAGTTTTTTTAAATGGCTATAAGAGAAAAAAATGTAACGAGCGTTATAGGAGGTAGAGAGAAATAGAGAAATTTTGAACGGTATCCCGTGTGGTACAATGCTTTTGTCATTAAAGAGAATCTTGTTTGAAAACAAGCTGGATATACATTTGTGAGTTTTAGCTACTTTCCCAACAGCATGACATTTTCCCATCTATCTTATTACTGCCGACGACACATTCGACATTTTCTTCAATACTGCAATTCGAGCACGTGTCGGGTGCAGTTGACGCGACAATACCATCGACATTTATATCGAACTCGCTCTTCAACGATGGAATGTTCTTTATAATCAATGCAAAGCTACTGTCGATCACAATATCAGGTTCTGGTAGACTTTCCAGGATAGATTCACTGGATGCAAATACATCGCTTTAGAAGGAAACCCATAATATTTCGTTTAGATTCGCTAACAAGACTACAACATATGAGTTTTCACATTTTTATACGATGTGAAAATAACAATGAAATCGGTTTAACTGTACTAATCTCTATGTTAGAATCTACTTTGCTTTTTTTGCACACACATATATATATATATTTCAATTTATAACATTTTTCCTGACTGTCACACTTTGATTCCAGTTCTGAAGTTTAAAACGTTAAAGTTTAAAATTTTATTGCTCGACTTGGACTAGTGTGTCTGTGTGTCTGTGTGTCTGTGCGTGCGATTTTGGAAAATACTATAATTAAATCTTCTAAGACATTGAAGATAATATGGCATATTGCACAAGATAGACATATTTTTATACATATAAATATTATATATATATGTGTACATACATATATTCATATTTATATTCATTATACTTATATAATATAGATATATATCTTTATGGGGATTGTTATTTCCTACACAAAAATATGCATATGAACATGTTATGTACACACATGTGTGTACAGATTGGATTCCAAAAGCATAACCATTAATTAAATTCATGGAACACCATGCAAGAGAGAAAGACACAGAGGAGATGAGACAGGACCAATTTAGCGATAATTATGTGGAATTTTGTTATAAAAATATCTATTCGAAAGGAAACGTGAATTAGTTCATTCTCAACCCTGAACAGTCTACCATCTACTTTTTGCGCAACTTAAACGGATACCCATATATATTATGTTACTGAAGGTATAGCTCGGAAAGACTGGGGAATATCTATTTACTTGATCTTGAACGCGTCCATCAGCTCGTTCACGGCGGCCTGCGTCGCAGCCTGTGTCGCAGCTTGCGTTATCCTCTGCTGTAGACCACCCCCTCGACTAAACACACCACGGATACCCAGCTTTGACTACTGATCTCACTCTTGCAATTTGTTTTCAGGGACATACATCATACGTTTAGCGTTGCGAAATGTCAACTTATATGATGCGTGTCTCGTGTACGAAAGCGTGCATAAATGCCTTTTTAAATGCGTACCCGAGATAAAGTAACATTAACGGTACACACGTAGCTTTGTAACAGTAGTTATAAAAACGTTTTGTAATAACGATATTTGCTCGACATTCAAAGGTAGCTCTCTTAAGCTGTTAAGACTAAACTCGCCTTAGCTTCCGTTTATAAATACATAACAATTGTATATATACATATATATTATGCTATTTTGTTGCTTTTGATAAATCGTAATGCAGGCACCGACATATTTGTCCACAATTAGTAATTGACAAGTTTCGGATTGTTAGACTTGATATAAAATATTTTGGATAATATAAGAAATGTATGAAGTAGAAGTGCTGTTATGCGTTTGAAAAGCTTTGAAATTACATTAAACAGGGCATATCGTAGTTTGTACACGAAATATATACTAACAATAAATACGATAAATTGGTAGAGACAACTATTAGATACCAAAAAACTATCACTTTCCATATTTAGTCGCATTTTGTCGAAATGTCATGCTGTTAGTAAGTAAATAAATGGCTATCTATCTGTCATAAGAACGCAAAGTCCTTTATTTGACAATATTTTCAACGGTATATACATATATGATGTACAGCTTCATTCAAGATAATTTACAATCAAACATGTGTGACTCGACTATGCATATTATATATATATTTTCATTTTCTAAGAACAAGAAGATATCGTATCGTTGGAAATATTTAGTATTGCAGATTTCACTACTAATGTTAAAGTATAACTATGATTAGGGCTGTGTTAATCTCTGTGTCAGATATAATATTATACATTATTTCATATATATATACACATAAATATATATAATATATATTTATATTATTTTATATATACACATATGTATATATATATATATTTAATAGGCTACAAATTATTACACTGTTCATGCAATATAAATATTAAACAATAAAAATAATAAGAGGAAATAACAGAGTTATTCTCATCCTTCTTGATCAATCACTTAAAAAATATGTCGTTGTCGTGTTACGTAGGTTGAAATACACTATAGGAATTGCTCGACACTTGGAAGCTCAATTAGATTCCAGAAACACAAGAAGGTGCAGGACTTATACAATTAGAATAATTCTCGTGTTATTTTTCACACTCCTACTTAATTAACATTGATCACGTAATCTCTCATAGTGTATGCAGACAATAACGGTAACATTAGGAAAGAGAGAAACACAGTGTGTCTTGTGTAAAATATACACTTGTCTATAATGCAACGGATACGGTATTGATTAGTAGCGAATAGGCGAGTTAGTGCGAAGACTTATTGTCGGCGCCTGCAATAGAAAGTGAAGTTAGCACCCAAAAGCCCCAATCAGAAAAGCTACTGTTTAATATAGTCGGGTAAGTTTCTCGGAGAAAGCCGCGAACTTTACGTTCACGACTGTATACCGCTTTCACGTCGTTATTGCATCATTATATACTTCGAACACACAATCAGCAAGGGACGTTATTGTGCTACTTAAAGTTCAATGTGCGCAGATTAGCTTGCCGTAAGAATTGCGATCGATGGCACGATAAAATCGCGATATACGACTTGAGATCTAAGATTTTATCTGTGATGTTAATAAATGGAACTTTTTTTTAAAATAGTTTTAAGCTCCAATATAAGTTATATTGTACTCACGATGGTATCATAGGTGGAGGTAGGCCAGGGTTAGCTCGCGTTGGTGGTGGTCCACCCGGACCAGGTCTATTAGGGATGGCTGGTGCTGGCCGGCCGCCTGAAGGTACTGGTGGTGGTGCTCGTGAGCTAGAAATAGGTGGTGGCTGTGTCACTCCGCGTCTTGGACCACCAGGAGATGGTGGCGATAATCTAAAACGTATAATACGTTTGCAATCGACTTGACTTTTATATCATTTTAGCGGGCTAGACACGTTCTTTCAAACGTGGAACGAAAGGGAAGTTACAAGCAGTATACATAAAAAAAGTTCATCGCACAAAATCTTTGTCTGATTGTGAGTGGATAACGTAGTCCATATAATAATTCTTTAATATTTCTTGATATTCAAAGATGTAAATAATAAAGACATGGAATATATTGATTGATTAAATACAAGTATTGATAAATAATTACATTCTATTCTAGCTTAATATTATGGTTTGACATAAAGAATGTCGTTACTCAGAAAGTCTATTAATTGGAAGAGCATGCATAATGTGAACATGACATGTTCTGTATAACAAAATAATTGGACTTGTTTTCTCGTCGAGAGTTTTTTAAGAAAAAAATAAAGACAAATGCATTGTATGTAAAAAATCTTACCCAAGACTGTTTCAACGGTGTTCAAATGTATGGCAAAGCAGACGGTACAAAATGTAAGGATGATAAATTAGTAAAATGCGCGATAGACCATTTTAGGGATAACATAAGGGTTACCTTGGATTTTCGGCGGATGCCAGCCAATCGTTCTTCACAGGTGGTGGTACTGGGGTAGAAACTGTGGCCATGGAGACATCTCCGATGATACGAAGAGCCTCTTTGCATGCGTGGTACATGCGTAACATCTCCTCCCGCTTCTGCGCCTCTTCGGGAGATTCTTCCATCATTGAAGCCTGCAATCGCATACATACATCAGGAGATTTTCTCAGGTAAAAACGTACAAAGATAGAAAATATCAGATATAAACGCAGGAATGCGTTATAAATTCGAAATTTCAATATAGTTAAAAGTTGAATTTATGTTAACAAATGGTAAACATATTTCTCTCGAATCAAATACTCCTCAAAGAGAGGAGAAGGATGGAAGGAAAGGAATGGTAAGGTGCACTTACGATTACAGGATCATTGAATATCGTCAACATATTTAGTTCATCGTTGGTCGACTAGGAAACAGTGGAAAGGATTGGTCTATAAAATTCTTAAGAGGGAACTGATTTTGTAATAAACTGTTATTACATACTGTATTGATGAGGTTTTACCTGATCGCCACTTGCATAAAGATGTGCCAACAATTCTCCATTAATGAAATCCTTAGCATTGTTAATAATAAGCATCATAATTGTCTTTGGAACCAGATCACGGGTGGTTTTTGTGACAATCTTCATGTAAGAATCTACTAAGTTCCTGATAGTTTCCACCTGACGCTCCAATTGAGGATCCATCGATGACTGACCCTCTGTTCCGCCCTAAAGGAACAAAAACAATCTCGTTTAAACTTTATGTTTTGTGCCTATATTTTCAAGTAAACGTTCTCAAACGGTTCAATGACTAAGAAGCCATGTATCAAATCAAACATTCGCAATATTACAAATTAAACGAATGTGAGTAATCAAATCTAGGAATATAATCGAAATATAGAATATCATGTTCTACGGTGTTAGAAATTTTCTGCAGTAGTGTGTTTGGTTGAGGAGGTGTCCAGTGCTTATGTAAGTGTCGTGCTTTGTGATTGAAAACACGAGATTGTACCAACCTCATATCCTTCCTTTTTAGTCGATTCAAATATGAGACAAAAAAGAGAATGGTTTCTATTATGCACTCAATACAAAAGATTATTTTAAGAAACGATAATGGATATAAAAACCCACGCACTCTAGACATCTCAAGTACATATTACAATGGTATTTAAAAGGTAATGAAAATATAAAGATGTACCGATATAAAATGACACCCTCGCGCAAAATGTTATAAGTAATCTTGACATATAAAATTTTGCAAAATTTAATTCCGCATGTTAATATCAATTCTATACTTCTAGCCTAATCATGATCATAAAAATAAAGCCAAATCTCTATTTTCCTAAAATAATTCGTTTTTGTTAGTTGCTCTTAACATAATTCAGATCACCACACGGTTAAAAATTTAAAAACAAAGCCTCCTTTTTTTATTAACTCACCCTCTGCTTATCCTAAAATAAATTAAAATAGTTTCTAATAAATATAATGAATAAACTGATATAAATATGGCATACATACATACATCTCTTTTATAGCATGTACATAATTGTCTAGCCGTGTTTCGATTAATAATGAACTCACCTCTTCGCCATTTGCTTGCTCTGTTGATTTTTCGGGATATACACCAGCCCTCAGGAATGACGCTTTCCAGGAGTCAACATCATCTTGTGTTTCACAACTCAACTCCAGCTGTTTATAATCCTTATAAACGTTTCTTCCTTCTGGATTGAACAACGCAAATAGATGACGACGCGACATGAAACTTTGTTCTAGATCACGCAATTTCAGTCCGTCCAGAGGCAACATGTATTTCTTTTCACGTTCCTTTGTACATAAAAAACATATAGATTAGACATTGTTCTTCAATGTTAATAATTCTTTTTTAAGATGTTACGATTTGTAACATCTAATTGAAAGATCGAATCAATAATTATGAGCAATATTTACTTCCTCATCCTTGAACCAGGAGATACTCTCTGATGTCAAGACAAACCAGTAATCTCTCGAACCGCCCTTCATGATACCGAGATTATGTATGCACATGTAGCCTTTACGAATTACTTGATTGCCTAACGTATGCCGTCCAGACTTAACGGAATTTTCCGAGGATTGTTGTGCACTGCAACACAAATGGCAGTGTATAATGAAAAATAAAAGATTTCATACGTTCAGCCGCAAGGTTTGTTGCTATCAAAGTTTACACTGGTCAATTGTAAATAAAAAAAATACAGCAAGATCCTAGCATCCATGTTTTAAACAAATGTACTATACCGTAAAAAGAAACTAAATTAACGTTTGCTTATTGTGAGAGAGCTTATGTTAGAAATTTTTTGTTACACGTATACTAATATATAAATTCAATATTTTCATTTTACAATAAAAATAATATATACAGAATAAAGATAGACAGTATTTTGTGCCTTTGTATTTGTACATCTATTCCGAGAAAGACCACTGAGAAAATCTTTATCTTAAAATTAATATGATATATATCAGAATTATCGTGTATATATTGCCACACAATGCTTCATGCATTTTATGCTTCAACATTTTCTAAGCGCACATTTGCTGTGTAGCCACATAAACAATACTAGTATCACAAACATATGTACAATGTAGCTATCATTTGGACAACACTGCGACAATTTCCGATGTTGTGGTGCAAAAGCGATTATGAAAAAAGTTGATTGCATAAGCGCATATTACATTCATTACAAAACAGATTATAAGTGTGATGTTGCTGTATGAATTACAATCACTAAAAGTCCCATGAATAATGCAGGTGACTTTATTTATATACTTTTGTTCGCGAGTTCTAATTCTCTGGCATATAACTTAGAAACGAAAAGTCCTTATATTAATTTAAAATAAAGCGAACTCATAATTTGCACAGAAGAAACAAAATTGAAATAGTAACAGACTAATGTTAAACAATTGAAAATATGAGACAGATTGCAAGAACAACGTGCTGCATCCCATGATTTTAATTTATGCAGAATTTTCAGTATTTCACTGAAGTCCAAGTTATATCAAGAATGTACAAAGTTTAAATTACAGCATAATAATTTTCTTGAAATCCGATTTCGACTGAAAGTTGTGAATCTAGTTTAAAGAAAATTAGTTAAGAACTAATTTTCCATTATATAGTATATCATACATTAATCATTCTTTGTTTTTTAAATGCTATTTAATTGTAGCATTTAAAAATTAACGATTGAATGAATAATTCAATCAATTTAATCTAAATTATAGAAAAAAACAAAAAACTAATATATTGTTTGCTTGTTTGAAATATTTTAAAATATTGATAAACACAGTGTTAAGCTAAAAATCAGTTTGGCTCATAGTACATTAGTATTTCAAATTAAAATGGTAGCAACAAGATATCAAAAGAAGAATAAGCATCAGAAAGAAAGAGCGTGAAAATGGAGAGGGATAAAAAAATGTAGTGTAAATTTTGTTGAAATGTACTTTAATATTCTTACCTTGCATTATGGCTACTGGCTGCAGCGCTGCCGATATAATTAAATCATTTCTTTAATTGTGAAGTTTGAAGAAATTGATAATGAGAAAAAAAGAAGTACATCTCAGGATAAGGCCGTATTTACTTTAATTAGGGTAAGGCACACATAATCTTAGAGATAGATTTAACAAATTATAAACAATATGTTATAATTTTTTATCATTTAATTATACTTTTTTTATTACGAGTTACATAAACTAGGATTATACATATATACTATAAAACAAGTATTTTAAAGATGTATACTTCTGCACAAAATCTGTATGCCTTGGCCCCAATAACATTATAAATAAAATCAAGAAAATTTATGACACTTAATATCTTCAGCAACATCGTTATTGAATTTATATAAGCCTATTACTTATTCAGTTATATGCTTACATTTATCTATCTAATATTAGCTGTACATTGTGAATACCTAATGCAATTTTTTGTATATAACTATTTTAATAATTAATTCTCAGAGATTTATTTATAAAGCAAATGTTAAAATATCAAAAATAAATTATATGGAAATACTGCTATATAGCCATAACAATAAAAATCAATTTGAGCTACAAAGAATGTAATATGTGCAAATGCAATCCCATATCCTTAGTATTTCGAGAAGTTATTTCTTTGACACAAATCATTGTTGTAATCACTCTAAATCATTATTTTGTAATTTAGCAACGAAGAAATTTTATTTAAATTTTAAAAAGTTTTAATTTATTGGTATATATAAGGTGTTTGAAGATACCTTTGAAAATTTTACACATTGTATGTAACGTACATGATCAAATTTTATTTCAATCATAAAAATAGAATAAACAAAAGTAAATAGAAGTTCAAGTCACGTTAATAAAACTAAATAATTAACAAAAATAAAGTAAAACGTATTAAAGGCAAATATATGGAAGAGAATTCAACATATTTATGATTTTAGTATAGTGTCATACAAGTGTACATTAAAAAGAAATATTACTACGCAAATTATTGCTTGTCAAATTCTAAACTGGCCTTTGGCCTTGAAGGGAGGACGAGCTGAGAATGTTAGCGTGATCATAGATTGCCATGTGAGCTGATTTTAGCAAAACATGCACTGATTGTGAAAGTATATGCGCTGATAATTTCAGAAAAAAATAATTGCAAGCAAACAAATAATCGGACATATCAATCACGTGTAGTACGATTTTTTTGTCATGTCTTCCAAAGATGTTTAAAACTTTAATTTTTTACATAAATCCTTAGAAAGAGTATCTCTCTCTTGTTAATAAATTATCGGTATTGCTTACATTCTAATAAGTATTAAGCAAGTTGTATATGTGATTTACTACCTTCACTCTAAAACTATTTTAATTTCTTTTAAACTAATTTTTACAGCATAAAATGTGCTCTAAATAAACTATTATTTCTAAACTTTTAGAAAGAAGTGTACATTATAAAAAGTACTTTATTATATTAAACGAGAAAAATAGTATATACAGAATATTAAGAACCTTGTAAAATTTTATAATGCAATACACGTGAATATATTGCTAATATTTTTTTAACTAAAAAGCAGTCTTTTGGAACATACATCTTTGGCTACTATACAACATTATGTAACGTCTCTTGCTAGTTTAGTGACTATATCAAATTTGACATAAAATAAGAAAATATAGCAGCAAGCATAAGTGTAACGAAAACGACATGTAGGAACTAGATGTATTAACTTAAAGGAACTAAAAGTTTCTGTGGCTACTGTTTATCTCTGTAAATAATAGTTAAATCTAAGGTAACATATAACAAATAGCGTGAAATGTTTAGTGATTACTCACTTCGCAAAACCGATGAAATCTTCGTGATTCGTGTTCATGTATGCGAGTTCGCAATCCACCAGCAAGATCAGCTGCTCTTTACACATTTGTTCACGTTGCCTGACGTGTGTCGTTATAATACGTTCCGTCTCTTCTCTTAGTCTAGGGTAACGCGACATCTGTAATTTATACAAAAACCGGCGCATGAGAACTGCATTGTTAGTTCACATTTTATCATGCCTTGTATCTTTTACGCCATTCTTATAAATTCTCATGTTCTACGATAATCTTTGACTTACCCTATCGGTACAAATGCGTACAACGTTACTAAGTTCTTGCACGACTAAGTCTACACACTTGAGACTTGGTTCTTTAAGTCTGTTGATTTGTTTTTTGACTATTGCCTCAAAAGCCATGTCTGGGGTAAATAATCCCACCCTGATACCTATCGTATTAAAATTGTTGTTAATATCTTTAAGCAGTAACTTGATATTGCGAAACTTTGTAATTTAATTTTATACAATTTTGTCACGTAACAATATGATCAGGAGACACTCACCATGAATGTTTCTAATGGCGAAAGCAATTTCTTTCCTTAATTCTTTTTCATCGAACTCCATTTTAACAATTTCGAATGGAAAACGCTCGTGGAAAAGTCTGTTGATTTTTGCGCCCCCACTGAGCTCGTTAGTATTAATTTGTGCTGAACCCGAGCCTTCTATAGTTCTCTCGAAATCTGATTGAAGTTGTTGTATCATCCTTAAAAATATTTTTCTGTTAATTTGTGTAATGTAATCTGCCATAAAATAATATTAGTTGCATGGATAGAGAGTCTTGATGTTATCTACCATTCACAAAACACTTTAAAAATAATATCTGTTATTGTATCACAATCTACAAATTTATAATAGAAATGTCACGTATTGTCCCAATAAAGATATACATTATTTTATATAGTATTTTACATATTAAAAAAATTTTTGTTAACAATTTTACTCGTTAGTTTTCTTGTAGCAGAATAGTCTTATGCCATGAGAGTGTTTCCCAATTCAAGGAAAGCATTTGCATAAATCAAAACACCATTTTTTTCAATTAGTTCAAATTTCATGCAAATGGCACACTATTTCTGTTAAATAAAAACTAATGGAGGAAATAAGAATACCTACATATACAACTGAATTGATCTGAAAAACGAAAAAAAGCAAATGATCTAAAACCTCAAGACCCTCTACCCACAAAATAGAAAACTATTAGAAATGAAAAGATAGAGAATTATTCATTTATATGATTATAGCTTTACAATATAAAATACAATGTAAAATGTAGAATACATTCATCCAAAGAATTTTGATATTACATATATGTGTATATACATGTGTGTGATATATTCTGCTATAAGATATGCACTTGTGATTTTCACAATACACATTTTGTGAATGGAAGACAAACACTGGGATATACTGTAAACCAGCACACTGTAAAATTCTGATTTCACTTACTGTAACATAGCCTTTGTTTTGATTGCAGGATCATCAGGTCTGAAGTGTTTGTACTGCTCGACATCCTTCTCTAAAGTTAACAGCTGCTTTTGTAACCTATCTCTTAGAGCTGGCAAGGTATCCCTGATATGGTTTGTTAATTGTTGATTGAGAACTCTCTGCAAATACGGTGTACCCAATCTGTCTGCTAGATGACGATAAGACGGATGGCTAACAAGTGAAAACAAAAGTTACATAAGGCCAAAAATAATAATTATATCTTTCTACAGTCATCAGAGTTTTGCTCATTTACCTGAGAAAGAACTTTCGCTCAGCGGCTAGAGCATTTTTGATATCCTTCCGTCCCTCTATATCCTTCTGACTTCTATTGACAACGCCGATGTAACCCCTTCTCAATGGCAATAATTTGTTTTCCAAAATATCTCTTGCGTCGGTGCCATCGTCCATGAGATCCAGTTTAGTGATAACGCCAATTGTACGTACACCTTATAGTGTTGTGCATTAAATTAATGTCGAGTTCAAAGAAATGTTAAGGACGGCATGACAACAGATACAATACCTTGTGCATCCACTTCCTTAGCGAGCTTAAGAGCATCGCTATTGGCTAGATCAGTATTGGCCGGTGTGACTGCCAATATGAGACAATTGTCACGCTTGATAAACTGAAAGATCATCCCCTTAATTTGGGCTTCTATATCTGCTGGCTGATCTCCGATCGGCACTTTTGTAAGTCCAGGTAAATCGATCAGCGTCAAATTTAGGACTGCGCAAAAATAAATATATGTCAGTACATGATAGTTGCCATTTCCTTCAAAGTGGCTCGCTTATCATACTCACCGTTGGGTGAATACACTCTGAGATTAATTGGTATGTTAGAAATGCCCTTGTTACTTCCCGTCACCCTGTCTGTCTCTGCTTCAATTTCCTTCCGCACCTCGTCGAAATCCACAAACTTTTTACCCTTGCAATGTAAAAACTCGGCAAATTCTATAACATAAGAAAGAAGATGGTTACTTTCACATATCAATTCCCAGAAACAATTCTTGTTGTTTAGCAAAAAGAAAGCGAAATGAAAGAATCCAAATATAATATTTTATGTTACTTAAATATTTAACATATCTGTATGCTGTTTCACGAGATACGTCCAAACCAATAGCTTATCATAATTTTAGGAAGTATGATGCAGGAAATGCGATAACTCGACGATAAAAGTTCAAGAGGCAACACGATTTTATTAATCCAGTCTTATTGCATTCTATTTATTAATATCACTTTTTGTACGATGATAAAACGCGAAATGTCAACAACTTTAGTTTTTTAATAAACCCATTTAAGTTTTTTTTTATAAACCTATTAACCCACACATATAATAAATGTCACAGAATAAAAAGTTTTTCAACAAGGGTCAAGCAGGGGCTGACGTGTATAAACGGAGTAAATGCATTAGGCATTAATGTGTTCCTTGCTTAAAAGGGAGATATTTGCCGCAAGTGCGGGTCAATAGGTTAACAAGATGATATTACGGGTATATGAGAACTCGTACGTTCTTTGAATAATTTCTTGCGCGTGCCTTTAAAGGTAACAGAGATTCTGATATTATTGTCACCGATATTTCAGATACGATACGTAAGATTTCATATTGATTGTTGTACGTTGAGGAGTACGGAAAAAATAACGTAATGAGTCCGATGCATTGTGACTCACCAGTTGGGCTGTGAATCAACTGCAAGATGAGAGGTCGCCTTGTCACAATGCCTGAACCTCTTGGCAAGAAGTCTCTGGAAAGGATATTTTTCGTATAATTAACTTAATCTCATTTTCGTATGTATGTAATTTATATATAAATTCAGACTTATTGTTGGAGAAAAAAAATCCCCTATTATGAGATAGGATCCTAATGTGGGATAGCAGGGTTTCTGGTTAAATTAATAGGCATCATCAGTTGATTCCACCGTGAATTTATTGTCCCTGGAGCAAGATCTGTTTAGTGGAAAATTAATTGTTGGATCGTGCAATCGAAAAAGGATTTGTGATTGCATTTGGGTGTTGAAAACCTGCTATCTAATATTAGAAACCCATCACATAATAACGGACTTTCCTCGATATCTGTACCCGAGAGGTACAGATCAACTATTGTAACTGTGACATTCGGCAAACTTATACAACCGAAATTACTTTGCACTTCTCGAAAGATAATCTAAAGTTTGTTTAAAAATCTTGTTTAAAAAAACCAATCGGAGCGTCCAGTTGAGATAAAGACCTGAAAATCGATAATTTTGCAGTTACGATGGTTCACGTCTCAGGTAAACATACACAATACTGTGACTACCGAAAACCAACAAGGACTTGTTCATCAAAAATAAATTTGCACAAACATGGGTTTAAATACTACAAATTGCGATTAAGTATAACATAACTAAGCCCAATAGCCAAAGATAACGTGAATCGTTCATTTTGCGATATAACTTTCTACTCTCTGATAAAGACAGCATTGTTTTCTCTGATAAAGACGTTTCTTATCCATCTCTGAGGCGACGGATAAACCGCTGACCAATATTATGTACACCAATGCCTACGAATGTTAAGTGGGCATTGCTTTATCTTATCTTATTTTATTTTATTTTTATAATGCTCCAGCAAGGCCTAGTGCCAAAAAAATGCCTCAAATATGTACACCACAATGCCCTCAGCGGTTTACCCCTCGCATTTTCACTTCCGATATCTTTCTCGTAAAATTAAACCTAATCTACAATGTGCCTTCTTTGCATCTAGAAACATTCTATTTTATACACACAAATTAAAACGCTTAAAAAATTTATCAACAATATTGTACGATTGTACAACGTACATACAAGATACAATTGATCAACTTGCACACATTTTTCAAACATATTTATTGACTACAAAATTATAGATTGTTTCTAAACACAAAGAACACATTGTAGATTAGGCTTTGCGGATCGGTAGACTTGTGTCCAAATAGTTTCTTTCAAAGCCTAAAGGCCACGATGCTAGAACTTGATCAAGAACTAGAGCTTGATAAAGTTCTAGCATCGTGGACACAGACCTTTGGTCCAAGTTCTAGTTTCGAGAAATGTGTAGCCAATCAACTTGTAGCTTTTATGGAATGGCTGCGAGTTGATTGGCTACATATTTTTTGAAACTAGAACTTGGACCAAGTTCTAGCATCGTGGACACAGGCCTTAAGGCCCGGTTGCATCAACATTACGTAATTTTAACTGTAGCTTAATTCACTCTTTGTCTCTTTCTAACTGTTTCCCTTAAAAAGAGACAAAGAGTGAATTAAGCTAAAGTTAAGCGACTAGATTGAAATTTGACCAATTAGAGTAAACGTTACTAAGAGATGAGCAAACTTTACTGTGATTGGTCAAATTTCAATCTGATCCCAATCTCAATCCATAGGTATTAGTCCCAGTCTACAATAGATGATTTAAGCCCTAAGCTTTAAGAAATTGGCCAATCACGGTCAAGTGTGAGCAGAATACGCGACTGTGATTAGTCAATTTCTTAAGGCTTAGGGCTTAAATTTCTATTGTAGACTGGGACTTAAGGCCTATGTCCACGATGCTAGAACTTGATCCAAGTTCTAGTTCCGAGAAACGTGTGGCCAATCAACTCGCAGCTATTCCATAAAAGCTGCAAGTTGATTGGCTATACATTTCTCGGAACTAGAGCTTGGATCAAGTTCTAGCATCGTGGACACAGGCCTTTACATTTGTCGTACGATGAATTTTTCCAAGCGTCTTGATTGGCTGCAGGATAGTGAGATTCTCCAGTGTCTAAAGATTCTCTATTCAGCAACCGATCAACGCGCTTAAAAAATTTGTCGCGCGACAAACGCATCTCGTGCAACGTGCTGCGACGAATCAGCTGCGTCGTCTCAAGTTTCCCAGGAAAAAATCGAAAGACTCAATCGATCGGTCCCTTAACATACAGACGCCTCGCTCGACGCTTCGCTCAAAAAAAAAAAACTTGCGGGACAAGATAAAACGCGAGGATCGCGTACAGGATTTCGAGACTCGTTTATTCCTCGGTTATTTTTATCTCGATACATCGATATTACGCGTAATCGCCGGCGCGTTTAGCAGACGTCAGCGAGCGACGTGAATGAGAGGCGAGAGAGGCGTTCGCTGACGAGGACGCGGAGTCATCCCCGTCGCGTCGGTTTTGCGCATGAACGGGCGCGCTTCTAAGCGTTCCCGCGACGATGTCACGGAGAGGACGCCCGACAGGTCGTCCACTGTGGGCGTTCTGACGTCGCCCGCCGACGGCCGCTCCGCGAGGCCAGGGCACACGGCTGGCCGTCATCAGGTGGCCTTTCCTCGCCCGCGCGGCGAAAAGCCGCGGTCTCCGCCACGCCTTTAGCCCCCGATCCACAACGTGCTCTTTCCCAGTGAGAAACGACTCGCCGAGACCGATGTCACTTTCCTCACTGGCTCGCGTCTAGGAACATCCCGTTTTCATACAAAGCCGAACGAAACGCTTCGAAAATTTGTCGACTACAAAGTTTCTAGACGCAAGGAGCACATTGTGGATCGGGCTTTTGGGACGACGACGACGACGAGGAGGAGGAGGAGGAGGAGGAGGAACAGAGAGACCCCCGTCCGTCTCGTAAATAACAGCCGCGTTACGCTTTCTGCGCTCGAGACGGAAAACCCGTACACGCGGAATTCGCGGGAAAATGACGAGAGCGAGAAACTAGGGAAAACCGTGGAGGAATTGGACGGACCCGGGGAGGAGGGGGGGGGGGAGGAGGAGATCGGTGGCGGTGGTGGTTTATCGACCGCGTTCGATCGAATCCGCCTTCGAGTGCCGTAAGTGGACGTAACGATCGAGAGACAGGCGTCTCTATACTCGCGTAACGTGCGCGCGGAAAGATTCCCTTTGCATCCTTCACGGACGATTCCTTCGCTCGCTCGCTCTCTCTCTCTCTTTTTCGGGTTGCCATTTCTCTCGAAGAGTTCGACCGAGGCTGCGAGAGGCGGAGGCGGTGGAGGAGGAGGAGGAGGAGTAAGAGGAGGGCGATGTCGAGAGAGGAGTCGGGCGCGATTATACAACGTCAGCCGTCGGCTGGTGTACTCACTTGCCGACGAAGTTCTCGAGCACGGAGCTCTTGCCCGCGCTCTGGCCGCCCACCACCGCGATCTGCGGCAGGTCGAGCTGCATATGCACGCCGAGCTGCGTGAACGCATCCTGCAGCTTGTTCACGATCGGGATCAACTGCTCCATACCCGTGTTACCCGCCATCCTGCCGCCGGGGCCGCGCGATCCGCGTTACACCGCTCGTACGACACACAGAGATACGCGCGCGCGCGCGCACACACACGCACTCCGTTTCTCTCCTCTATCTTTCCGCAGCTGTGGCCCCTCGCTGCGCTCGCGGCGCACCGCCTGGTGCTCCGCACTGCTCGCTGCCACCGCCCGCACACGCACGACCGCCCGAGGAGGGTGGCTGACGGAGGCGAGTGACCGTCCGTTACGGGATCCAAGCGTGCACTAAGGCAAGATGGCCGATCTCCGCGAGGGCTGCCCGCTGGCGCTCGCGCCGCCGCGCTCTACTCGTCCGCCCGCCTGCCCGACTGGCCGACGGCTCTCGCGCGCGCTCGCGGTTCCGCCGCGCCAAGCTTCAGCATCGTCTCTCTCGAGCGGATTCGTTAACGGTGCCGGCGGCGACGGGGCACGACGGGGTCGCGAATCGCGGGCTCGATCTCGTATCGCTCTCGCTCGCTCCCTCCCGCCGCGGGCGGGCGCGCACGCGCGCGTGCGCGCGCGCGAGACACCACGAGCGGGGAGCGGCGATTTGAAATCTCCGCGAGCGAGCGGAGCGGCACGTATACGTGAGCGCGAGATTCTCGGGACGAGCGTCGACAACGGCGGCGGCGACGACGGCGACGACGACGACGGACTCGCGCATCGTCCGCCGCTCGGGGTGTCCGTCAGAGCGGTTCAATCGATAATCGAAGCGTGCGCACAAGTCGCGCCGCCGCCGTCGCCGCCGTCGTACGTCGTCGTTGTGACCCACTTTCGCGGCGGTGAGATAAAATCCATATCGTACACGAGTGTCCGTCAACGCTCTGACCTTTTTACCTCCGCGCGCGTCCCCACGTCTGTTCGTACGTGCGACTCGCGCGCGCCTGCGCGCGACGGCGACGGAAATTCGACTGCGCGACGTTCTCACTTCCGATACACGCGCTGAGCGAGCGACGGAGTCGATACCGCGGCCCGATCGATGCCCGCGATATCGGCTCGCTTCGCGCCGCTCGCCGGCAAATCGCCGCGTTCTTTCCAGCCGCGCCTTATGTCAATTTGCCGGCGTCGATATCGATTCGACATCGTTTCGACGTCGATCGACGGATCGTTTCTGGGCAGTAACTTGTTTCTGATTAACGCGCGGCGACCCGCCGTTCACGTCCGTCAGATGGAAAAGGGTTGAGTAAGAAAAATATTTCTTAACTCAACTGTGTATGCGGCAAGTGCTTGTCAATTCGTAAGAAGATCATCCCAGTGAAAAATCGACAATCGAATGGACTTCGACACCGTCAAATTGACATCGATTCGATATCGATCGACGAGCCATTTTTCACCGGGCCGTCCCGGCCGTTTCTTAAGGCCTGTGTTCACGATGCCAGGTCCAGGTTCTAGTTTCGGGAAATGTGCAGCCAATCAACTTGCAGCTTTTCTGTAAGAGCAGAATTTTCGCGTACGTTTCTCTTTTGAGTGAATTCGTGATGTGAAAAAGAATTGAGCCCCGCGTCAAATTGACGTCGACTCGACATCGTTTCGATATCGACTCGTCATTTCTCGCCGGGATGTTAACGTATGTCTGGCTGAAAAATATAAATGTTTGAACTGAAGAAACGACTGCGATTGAGCGCGTAATAAATAACTTTTCCTCCTCAGCGTTCGAGCGCAGTTTCGGTGACACTCGTGTCGAGGGATCTGAATTTAGCTCACGTTCCAATACGATAAATCGAAAGCTTGCAGTGTCCCGATTTAAAGATATATTTAGTGAACTTATACAGTCAAGAATTAAAACGACCCAGGCTGGCAAATCTTTTTATTCAATAAAATTACGACGTTTCGACCAGTAATACTGGTCCTTTTCAAGTATATCCTATGTTACACCCATCAATTGTTACAGCAAAAGATAGGAAAACGTGTCGTAGTGCATAAAAAATAAATATATGTCCATCGAAATAAAGAGATCGATTACATCATTTAAATTCGCACACCGTTGTTGGATTAGAATTGTTTTGCGTTGCTGAGTGAAAGATGTCCACGTGCATATTATCTTCCGTTTTTTCAAAGCCGCAATGTGATTCAGTTGAAATCGCACAGACCGGCGGAGCGAGCGAGATTTTCAAAGTCACGCAACGAAATCCCCACCGTAATTTTACGAAAGTGAAAACCGCGGATCGTTTCCTTTTCCCGCGTAACTGGGAAAGAGAGAGAGAGAGAGAGAGAGAGCGAGATCGTTCTCGAAACGGTTGTATCGATTTCCTGGTTTAACTATATCCATTGGTCTCACTATATGCTCTTTTGCACCTTTGCGTCTAAGAAGCCCGTTCTCTCCAGTTGTACCTTATGTACGTGTGATCTTTTATCTCTTCTTTTGCACAATCAGATTAAATTTACTTTAGTTTTTTCACTTACGCCAGAGTTATGAGATCCCCCAATAAATATATCAACTAACAGTTACATAACATCAATATCGTGATTTCCTACTCAACAATGAATCCCTGGTAGTACAATCTTCAAATCTAGCAAGTGTACGAGCAAATAAAAATTTAGTACAGATTTAAAGGAACATGATTTCAACGTCCCATTTGTATAATCGAAATAAATTTTTTTCTGGGTGTACACATTGTGTGTGTATAACGTATATATGTACGTACTCTCATATACGGTGCGATATCGACTTATATTTGGCACATATAGTACTTAAATTCAACGGATCGATTAGCAAACTTAAAAGTGGTCCCGTTCAATAGAACGCGACATTGGCTATCGTTATTGATCATTGACCTGTAAAGGCATTTGGTGTGACGTCCAACCTATATATACGTGAATATATAGCGGTTTCATGTACCTGATTTTAAGCAGGTAAACGTTTTAACGGTGACAATTGTAAGTAATTAATAAAAAATTCATAGAATTCATAAGGCTCTAATGTGAAAACACAAATACGAAGTAATGTAGAAGCAAGAGCCAAGACAGAATGTTAGTGTCTAAATAATTTAAAAGTTTTAATATTTTTATAATTGGGGGAAGTCTTAGAGTTATTTCTCACTTTCTCTAGTATTCGTTTACGTCGGTTTGTCCAGAGCGATTCAACTGCTACTCTGCCTCAAACTAAATTACCTCTAGCAAAAATTATCGATTTTAGCGCTACGCCAAACTACCAGTGGCGAAATTTATGGACGATTGTATACTTTCTTCTACGTTTCTCCTTAATTTTAAAACGTGAATAAAATCTTAATTTATAAAGAAAAATATAAAATTAATACGTAATCTTAAAGTAATTCGTTACAGGTGTCTATAAGTTTATTTTGTATTCTCTTCTCCTCCTCACATTCTGGCCTTTGATTCGTCGAACTTTTTATTTGATGCAACAAAGTATCAACATATAATATGGAGTGGAAAAATTAATTGCATTCCACACAACGAGGTATTGAATTTCGCATCGAGTTGTAGACACGCGAGATTTATAGTTGCATCGCTTTTACGATGTCCATTTAAGACCCGTGGCCTAGAATCTTCTATTGACTTCATAATCATTATATGAGTAGAGCAACGTACGTGGTATGATTCACGGTATGGAGTCGCCAGTAACGAAAGGAAAACCGAAAGAAACTACAAGTGTGTTTAAAAGCTGTTAAAAAAAACAACATTCGAAAGAATAAGCCTTATAAGGAGCAGGGAAGAGAGAGAAAGAAAAAAATTGAATAATACTCATAATCCAATCTTATGTTGAAGATCGTTTCAAGCATGATTTTAGATAACCTTAAGGCGTCGTCTACAATAACCGGCGTAAGCGTGGAGTAAGAAGTAAGAGTAGGCGTAAGAGAGCTACTTCCGGTTTAATAGAGCTGGAGTAAGGGCGTAAGCGAAATAAATTATTTTTATTTCTTACGCCTACTCTTACTCTTACTCTTACGCCTTTTCACGCATGCCTACAACACCTACTTCACCGTATTGTAGATTGAGTCGGCGTAAACAGCTTACGCCAAAAACGTTACTCCTACTCTTACTTCTTACTCCACGCTTACGCCGGTTATTGTAGACGACGCTTTACTCTTACGCCTTTTCACGCATGCCTACAACACCTACTTCACTGTATTGTAGATTGAGTCGGCGCAAACAGCTTACGCCAAG